TGCCTATGTTTCTAGTTTGAGTGTGTTATGTGGGTAAAACGTTCATAAACGTTAATTAAGGTTTGGTCATCACTCGTCGGAGACGAAATTGATATCTTTCTGTATTTGTTCGCGAGCTCTTTTGTGCCTCAGCAATTGTACGTATCTTGTGCTACCTTGTAGCCCAGGTTGACATAAAAAAGGGGCATCTTGTGACCTTGAAGTCTGCAGAGCCGGAAGTAATACTTTTGACGCCGATGAGTGTTGCGCGAGCAGATTCACAACGGCAAAAAAAACACCAGTCTCCCAAAAGCTGACGAAGCACCGTCCCCAATTAGCCCAATCATCAAAGAGCATTGGGCGAAATCATTCGATCCCTCTTTCATTCCCATTCTCTTTCATTTGACATTCCCAGATATGATGTCGAGTGTTTTCGACCTTGTCAACGTAATGTCGGATCGGAAGTCGGATCATTATTAAGAGCCTCTCGACCACAAGGGCTGAATGATAAAGATTATATTGTGACGATGATGAGCCGTGATACTGCCCTTTAACAATTCCTTGTTTTGAAATATGGATATGGTACTATATACCTGTAGATGATTGACCTTTTATCAGTTACCTTTTAGGTGTGTGCACTCCTAACAACAGCGTGGTGTCGCTAAATCTGACTCACGATTCAACCGGTCGCCTGGCCTCCCCAGACTACCCGCTTCAATTTCCGCAAATCGGCTCCTGCTATTGGCGACTAAAAGCACCTGATGGGTATCGCGTTAAGCTTCAGTTTACAAAATTAAACATCCAGGGTGACTGCAAAAATGGTATAAATGGTGGAAATTGGGTTCGTGTAGATGATTCTTTCGTAGCTGACTTTGATAGTGTTTCTTCATATTGGGGAAGATTCTGCAGTCCTGTTCAGCCCCCGGTAATATATTCTACCAGGAATCAGCTTCAGGTGTTTTTCACGACAAATTACACCTCTAGTAGTGACTACACTAAGGGTGATAACCTGTTACCAAGTCCAAATACCACAGGATTTTATGCTTCATATGAGGTTATTCCACAAGGTAAATGAGTGTTTGTTCACATTTCATTTAAAACATTCATAAATTAATTCGCCTCGTGGGGTTTTCCTATTTTGTTCGATGTGGCACGACTTAAAAATATATGGTTCTTATGTTTTCTTCTAACACACTTATGACGTTGCTGCATCATGGTATTGAACCTTTCATTGATAAAGCTTTTTACCTAGTTGATAAGAAATTAGAAAAAATGATTTAGTATACACCACCAGACATATTTCGTATTTGTATGGTTACTATCAGTATCTATCCTTACAGACTCCACTTATTAATAAGCAATCTTTGTGAGATGTTTGCTCGTAAATTATCCAACTGGTCTTGCTCAGTTTAATGACGCATTTAGCGTCGGGTCCGATCCTCATTTATATTGGTGCGTTATTATTTCCTCAGGTTATACAAGTCGATGTCGCACAGACACGAAACCACAGAAACCCTTCGAAGTGCGAGGATATACAGGGTCTTTGGTAAGTCCGGGGTATCCCTATTCCTACCCAATCATCACTTGTACCTGGAAAATTGTGGTCCCGGATGGTTATATAGTGGAGGTGAAGATTGACGATTTTGACATGGCCTGCTCGGGAGGAAGTAAGCTACAGGTGGGAAAAGATACGTTTTGCGGCTCGAACAAACCTTCCGGACTGCTGACATCTGAATCGGACTTGATGATACAGATGATCATAACGGAGGCTCAGGACAACCGTGGTTTTCGTGCCACGTTTACAATGACAGAAAGAGGTTAGTAATCAAAAGTGGTGTTGCAATAATATTTGGTAATTTGGACTACTTTCCCTGTAATCTAGACTACAGTGCATGGGTTTTAGTCTACCACGGTTAGATGCTACCTACATTTATATGTTGATCCAAACAACGGTTCAGCGCTATTACATTTAACATAAAGGCCAACCATCATCCTCATTTTCAACTGACAACGTGTTGTCCCGAATGTAAGATTGTTAAATGCCAAATTTGGTCCAACATAACCCAGCTCTCTTTAGTGCTGGATAAGACTGAACATGTTGGTCTATATCACTCAACATTTCTACAATCTTGGGCAAAATGACAAATTTACATTTGTGGGGCGTTTTTCAGTTCACACATGCCCAAAATTTCCCTCCACCCCACAAACAACGTTGGACGCTTGTATCCAGAACTTTTCCCTAGTTTTAACATTGCGCAATAAGGTGGGGGAGGGAGGACCGCAAGCAATTTTTGAAAAGGATGCACTGTTTTATGGGGGGCACCCAAAAATTACAGAAAATTATGAATAATGCATTACTGTCCCAAGGACTTGTCTCCAGGATTGTAAAGCAACATGCTGGTGTTGCCTCACCATCACTACGAGAAATACGTTTTTCGCAAAATATTACATGCAACCTGATGGCCATTTCCGGTCGTCGCTTAATTCTCTCCATCCAAAAAGTAAGTCACTTTTCGGGTGAAGAGAATTAGAAGCGACGACCGCACGCTAATGGCCAACGTCAGCGAGCACTGTTAGATAAAGATAATTTATTGAGGTTACCTATTACACCGTTGCTTATGTCCTCTTATCCTTTGAAGAAATTGCTGTGGCGTCGATTGTTCCATGGATAGTTATCCCAATCGTGTTGGTGGCGATTGGTGTGACTGTGTTTGTCACGTGGAGGCGGAACAAAAGAGCACGAGAACGTGGTTCTTCCTTCAAGACTAGCATAATAAACCGGATGAGAACTCAGTCAACCGTAAGCGGTTAAAGCAAGCTAAGGGGTTAAAAGTTTTAGCTATAGTGCGGCCATCAAGTTTCCATCGTGGAAAAACAACCATCGCGTGACGTAGGCCAGATGTCTTTACCTTTGCCGATATATACTGAGTTAAATGTTATTTCTAATTATCAGCACTGTTAGATGTCAGTCTCAAAGCCAACCAGCCATGGTTATTACACGTTCGTGGCACTGATAATACTTATACTGGTTACACATAATCATCATTTTTTTCAAGCATAACAGCGGCGACAGTTAAGATAAAGAGTCTGCGCCGTCTCTGCGTTCATTTTACCCCTTGTCTTTATCAGCACTCTTTTCCACGGGTATTAAAAGCTACTAAAGGCTGGTTTTCACTAGCGACGGAGTCGGAGTCGGAGTCGTAAGCGGAGTGGTAAGAGCGCTTATAACCTAGGAAAATCAAAATCGGAGTCGTAAGCGGAATCATAATCATCATCGGAGTCAGAAGAATCAGAACGTTTCCATTTCTTCCAACTCCGCTTACGTTCCACTTATGATCTGTGAAAACCAGATTGTCGGAGTCGGAAGCAGCAGCAGAAGCAGAAGGATTAACCAATCGCAATGCAGGTTCCCACGCTTGGTTTTGTTTTTCTGCTTCCGACTCCGAAAATCTGGTTTTCACTAGATCAGAAGCGGAACGTAAGCGACGGAATCGTAAGCAGAATCAGAACGCTGTTTTCACAAGATCATAAGCTCTGCGCTTCTGATTACGACTCCAACTCCAACTCCGTCGCTAGTGAAAACCAGCTTAAGGCTGGTTTTCACTAGCGACAGAGTCGGAGTCGCAGTCGCAGTCGTAAGCAGATTCGTAAGAGCGCTTATGACCCAGTGAAAATCGAAAATCGGAGTCGTAAGCGGAGTCAGAAGCGCGACGGAATCGGAGTCAGAAGAATCAGAACGTTTCCATTTCTTCCGACTCCGCTTACGACTCCGTCGCTTACGTTCCGCTTATGATCTAGTGAAAACCAGATTGTTGGAGTCGGAAGTATATAGAAGCGGAGGAACTAAACCAATCACAATAAACATTCCCACGGTTTGTGATTTGTTTAGTTTTTCCGCTTCTGCTTCCGACTCCGACAATCTGGTTTTCACTACATCATAACCGGAACGTAAGCGACGGAGTCGTTAGCGAAATCGGAACGCTGTTTTCACTAGATCATAAGTTCTACGCTTGTGATTACGACTCCGACTCCGAATCCGTCGCTAGTGAAAACCACGAAGGGAAGAAGTCGTATACGAAGATTTGTAGTGACCGGCTGGGAATCGAACTCGGGACCCCTCCCTCTTTCTCTCGGTGCATGTCATGATCAGCAGGAGAAATCATAAGAATTCAGTTCGAAAGGCAACATCTGACACAACATGGTTTCTGCTGATGATGAATAATTTCTCTTCTCTTTTTTGTAAGGAGGGAAAGGCCAAAAAAAACATCTTTTGAAATTAAATTCAAGCGGCATCGTGGCAACGCGTGATCCCCAGCGTCAGTTAGTAAGCAACATCAACTATATTTTGAAGCAACCCACGGCATTATTAAGGTCGGAATTCCGTTGGTTACTATTCGTTTTGGCTTCAAGCGAAGTGTTAGGAGTTGTGCTATATAAAATTTCCCTTTCGTAGAAATCGAGATGTATTTTATTAGAATAAACAAAGACAACATTGCAGTATGTAAGGAGTTCAAATGATTCAGATGGCATAAATAACACCTGTTTTACCCGCCTTCCTGCCGAAAGGAGCCTTCATAAATAACAAATACAAAATACTGTGATAAATATTGAGAAAAATGTTTTTGGTCGCAAATCGCGTCCTAATAGCTAATACTCTCAGTTGAAAGGTTACAAGCCTTTTTATGGTCATTCATATATCTTTATCCTTGGCCGAAGAAGCACTTCTCAATTTTTTGCAACTTCATCTTTGGGTTTAATTAAAATAGGTTCTGGAGTCGTGAGGGTACATTGTGAAGTAATTGAATTGTGGCTGTTAATTGCAGGAAAGCAAAGAGACTTAACCTTTTCACTCCGTATGTCAATTATGGAGTTAGGAAATTAGTAGAAAAGTTTCACACTATGGAGCTGGGAAAAGCTACCATGCAACCAGTTAGTTCAAAAAACCATTATATTCAGCAGTAGGTTTGCCGAATGACAACTTTTGCAAAATGGAAGTTTGAATTTTTCTCTCGCTGGGAGGGTTACGTTGGCCTTGCTCCTTTACAAAAGAAGTTACGTACAATCTTCCAAACTGCAGCTCGAATTTCCTGAGTACGCCAACAATACAAAAATGGATTTATAGACGAGTTCAAAAACGCTATTGTATCTGCAATATGCAATCGGTTATCCAGAGGCTGTCCAAAAGCCAAAATGATAGTAACCACCAATATCGGCAAATAACAAAAGATCATACAAATGAAATATATGAGGGTGTTGATGGCACTCTTTGTAGATTGTTTAATTTTCGTCGTATCAGCACTCAACCTGTTTATGGCCTGTTGTTGTGATCGAATAACCAACGTGTGATGCCGCACAATTTGGTAAATTCTGATGTACGAAAAAGTTGATATAAAGAAGCAAATAGCAATGCCGCTGACAACTAGAGCAAGAAATAGAAGACTTCTTTCCCAAATCCTGAGAAATGAAAAAATAATAAACACCAACCAGAGGCTTGCTGAAGTATATAACGCACGTTTCACTGTCATCACATTCGAATATCGCATATGGTAACGAAGAGCTAAAAACCGATCCACGCTGATGGCTGTCATGGTGGAGAGAGAAACACCACAAACTAGAAAAAACATGACCTCTGTTGCTTGTTTTAAAGCTGGGCTGCTATCTGAGTAGATAAGCGCATTGGAAATGTAAACTGGTTGAACAACAAGCCCGACAAGAAGGTCTGACACCGCGAGACTGCACAAGAAGACTATGGACGGTGCTGAACGGAGCGAAGGAGTCCTCGATATGGCCGTCAACACCAAAGCGTTTCCAATGATGGATACGAAAATCAGTGGACCGTTGAGAATACAATTGATTACTTCAATTGTTTCGGGATAGTAACTGTCCTGCATATTGTCCATGTCATCGAGTTCTGAATCGTTTTTCCTAAAGAGGGAAAGGTTGAACATCTCCAATTCTGTTTTCAAATCCAGTTTGTAATACGCTTCTAAGGCTTCCCTTATTGATGGTACCCAATCATCTCTTTAGGACGTCAGTAAGAAAGTTGGCAAATTATTTAATGCATACACGTCTTTATCCAACCACAGAGTAATATTTCATAATGATGATGTAGTTTGCTTGATGTGCAAATTATTGTTTGCATTTGATGGATATCGCCCGCCGGAAAAGAAAGTAAACTACAATAGCACGTCCAACAGCTGTGGTAAAATGAAGAGTTAACAATGACAAGGAGGAAACAGAACATCATAACTTAAGCACAAGAAGAAGACAAATTATTTTTTGACTGGGTCATGGAAAACAGAGGGGGCGTTGGGGTCCATAAAAAACCGAAAAACCGCTCTAAAAATTACCCAAAACCGAAAAACCGCGATAGATTTCGATCAAAACCGAAAAGCAAATACAAAACCATCATAACCGAAGATTTATACAGCTAAATTTTCAAAACCCAAATCTAGATCTCAAACGTCAGTGATATGTGGAACATAGGGTCTAAACGGTAAAATTGAAGAACATATTAAGTTCCCCAAAAAATCTGTTGACCGTCTGTTGGTAGACTGTCGACCGATAGTTCATGGACAGATGACCAAAAAACGGGCGGCCGACAGTTTAAAACTAACTCTGGTTTGTTGAAGAAAACTGCCACTCAAACTATCTATATCTAGCTCTTTTACCTTGATCAATAAATATGAACCGCTCACGTTGAAAATTTTATGATCGACCATCAGCTCTCCTAGAGTTTAACGACAATCGTCGACAGTTGGCCGACAGAATTTTTGGGGACTTGTTGTTCAATTTTGCCGACTTAACAATATCACATCATCATTATATTCTAAATATCAATATCATCACAGTATCAGCACTATCTATGGATGTTATAGTCGTAAGACCGGCATACCTGCCCTAGGATTGTCTAGGAGAATTCACAAAGATCCTCGATTGAATATTGTGTTCGCGAAAAGCTGTCCTATAGCTATTGTTGGTTTTCACATGACGTCACTAAAATTCAATCTAAAAAACTATCGATCCTACCGAGATTGTACTTTCGCGATGTATTAGAGCAGCTGAAAACTAATTTTCATACCAATTTTCGCTTCCAAACGGTTCTTGGCTCAACAATAGCTTTAAACCTCTGATAAAAAAATCCAGAATCCCACATTGCAGTTTGACCTGAATTGAAGGTAAAATAGAAACATATAAGATAACCCAACATCTGACTGCACAGAGACCCAAAGAGGAATCTAACCTGCTTTATTTTTGCCAAAAAACCGAAAAACCAAATGCTAAAAAACGGAAAAACCGGAAACCGCAACGGACAACAAAACCGACATAAAAAATGGCCAAAACCGAAAATCCCAACGCCCCCCTCTCGAAAACATGCTAGTTTGCATTAAGACCACGCAAAATGAAAAATGAAAAAAGCAAAACAGGAAAACTACGAGCGAGGGAGCGGAAGTACCAGCTGAAGTACGGTATTGTTCTTTGGTTATAATAACATGCCGAACAAAGGAATAAAAAATTGCAAAGGTTACAAAGAACTAAAAAAAAATATCAGAAAATTTAAACTTAGATTAGAAGAAAAGCATTTTATTAACTTCGTTTCAAACATAAATACCTCAGTGCTAAAACAAACAAAAGGAAAGGAAGCGGAAAAAAAAACCGTTTGAGTACTCGATCGAATTGATCTTGTCAGTAAAAGGCGCTAACTGTCAATGAATCTCATCAGCGCACGTAGTCAAATATGAATAAGAAGGCCGAAAAAATGCAGAGACATTTACCTGCAAAATAAAGACAAAAATGCTTACAAGAACTTGGCTCCCCAGAATGTGGAATTATCCGAAGTGTGCGACTGATGGCCAACTTCAAGAAAGCTTTCCCTTAAATGAACACAAATGAAAAACTAAGTTAATTGTTACCAAGTAAGTACAAAATTAAAGATTTGCGTTAATCACATCATACAAACAATTTTCTTTGGAACGCAAAGATTTCATCTAATATTGAGTGGTTTGAACTGACGGCCATCTCACCTGCAGTAGTATCGATCATTTGTTTTAATGATAAGTAGAAATATTGGAATCCGTCACAGGCATTCCATTCTCAGCAATTCAACATGTTTAAAGACGCCTTATGAGATCCTTGTGTGTAGTATCTCGATTCTCCCCGAAACAAATCTAGTGCTCCGAACAGAAGCGATTCGTTTTAAAGTGAACTTTACCGAATTCCGAACCGTCAAACTATTCCTTACTTCATGTCCTCCAATAAAATGCCAATATCTACGTTATACGTCAACCTCTCCTCTGTCTTAATATAATCCCACACCGCATTTTTTTATGTTAAGTTCAAAAGTACAACATCCAATCCCCTACAGACTCTTCTGATTTCGGGTCTAAATTTGGAACAATATCACTAAGTATTTGAGTAAACCTCAAAAACGCACTTTTAAGAAAAAAAAGTGCACAATTTCTAAATTTATAAATGTCAAATCCGGGATAGTTATTGACATGGACACCCTTCTCGATGTAATTGAGGGAGGAGTTTGATTTAATATATTTTTTTTACTCATTGATTTATAAGCTTTATTTAGTATCTTTGTTTTATATTAGTTATCTCTATCTTACACACATATTTGTAAAATCTGTTATACAAGTGTATGGATCTTTGTGGCGAAACAAAATCAGTTTGTAGCGTCCTCACAATGCCTGCCTCTAATAGCTTTTGCTAAATGCAGGCAGTGTTAATGTGTAATAAAGTTGTTGTTGTTTTTGCTGTTGTAAATAATGCCTTAGTGACAATGAAAATACGAATTCCAAATGTGTGTTTGAAATAGAAAGGGAAACAAGAAATGAGTTAATATCCTCTCCCCGTCAAGCGGTTAAGTTGCATATCAAATTTGAAAACAAACTTTGAGTTCTCCATGTTCTTTTTTTCTCACAAATGCGAAAAGTCCATTTTACAGTGACTGGTGAAACGAGGCTGGAGTTGACCATGTTTGATACAACCCTTCAAGTTTATTATGCAAATCATGTTGTTCTTATGCTACACTATAAGTAGTATTTTTTAGGTATAATTTCCATAAGAAAAGGACAGAGGTTTTTGTCAAAAAAAAGGTCAACCAACCTCACGTTCAGTCAAATCCTTAAGGTGATGTTACACGGAACGATTCGCAACGACGATTTTCAGCGCAATAGCGCGTTGCAATTTTAGAACAATGTTGTATCCATTCGAGACAATGTCGCAACAATGATGCAACGCTGTGTTGCGCTACGAATCGTCGTTGAGAATCGTCTCGTGTAACATCACTTAAGAGACTAAGCCCATGCACAACTGTAAAATGGCCTATTAGGACCAATGTTCTGTAAGGCTGTGATCACACGTCAAAATTAAACTCAGCATTACGAAGTCCTTTATTTGATTGAAAAATAAAGACCCATCTGGTATGACACCATGTCACGTTCATCAGAAATCGAGGAAATGATGTTTAAAATTTTCTTAGTGTCATCAAGTGGTTGGTAAGAGGTCAGTATCAGTATTAGTAAAAAGAGCAAAATTAAAAAACAGTAAGCCCCGGTTCAGTCGCCGAACTTTTCATGAGCCGAACCCAGTAATTCGAATTAAGGCCGACTCAAATTATTTAGACCGGCTAAATTGATTCAGACGCCGATCTGAATTGCAGCCGAAACTAACTTCAAAAGGGGGAAAATGCTCATTTCTGTCAAACTGCTTACAAAATGCGTTGTAATAATTTATGCGTCAGGTTAGGTACATAAAAAGTTCGGCGTTTGAACCAAAGCCGTTCCAAAGTCGCTCCAAAGGCGAAATTCCCGGCTGGGCTAGGCGAAACGGAACGGCTGAGCCATTCCAAATTGAAACAGGCGTTCCTTATTGATTTAGACGCCGAACTTTTCAAGAAGTTAATTCAATGTATTAGGTTCGGCTCGAGAAAGGTTCGGCTTCTGAACGGGAGCCTAAGAAAAATTTTCACCTATTAAATGCTGACTTAACAGTTAAATGCCTTATAGTTCTGCCTATTATACTGATTTTTAACGATATTACTTGAGATTAGCAAAATGTAATCAGAATTACCTTTGCCTAACAGCCCTTTCAGGATTTTAACTCCATGATCTTCCTTGTCTGATCACTTGCAAGAGTAAAGAGTATTTGGCTCTATAATGCGATAACTGATAGAACCTAATTTTTATTCCTTGCATGAAAGAGACTTTGAATAAACATTTTATAGGGAAAATCTTTTCCAACGCGTCGACAAAGATAAACATTCGGAGACTGACAAACAGCTACGTGATGCTCGCAATTTCGGCCCATCAAATACAAAGAAACAATTCTAGAATAGATATCTCCAGAAATGTCGGGAACCTTTGACTGCCTGTCATACGTATCTTTACCAAATCTATTTGTGTAAGTCTATCGGTGCAAAACTATTACTTTAAATCAAATGACCTTTCCTCATTACTTTATACGTAGTTTTGCTTATTTTTTTGCCGCATTATTATAAAAAATGTTTTCTCACAATTTTTTCACATTTTTTCATTTAGTCGACAAATCTATGTAAATATAATACTGCGACTTTTTAAAATTTGTACCAGAGAAATAAAGACTTAAAAAAAAACAACAAAAAGATAATTGCAGACTTCAGCGTCTACCATGACTGATTTTCAGCCTTTGGATTGATTTTGACATATTTTAAAGTGTCCTCCTTATCTGTCGAAAATCACCTGCCTAGCTGCTCAAGTAGCGGGCATGTTGAACACCAGCCATGAAAGACATCGGTTAAATCTGGTACCTCGTCTACGGTAAAAACCTGCAACTAAGAACCTACATTTTTAGGAGTTAGCCTAAACAGGTTCTTACATAGATGGTTGTTGGTAAAAGAATTTTGGGCTATTTAGGTTCTTAAAATGGGTTCTTAATCCTGGAGAAAAAACAATTAAAACATCTACATATTGCTTAATATGCTTTGTAAGTCTACATATCTTGCACTCATTTTTCTTTAAAAAACATTTTTACAACAATGGCAATCTGCTTTTTTTGCTTCATATGATTCTTGCAATGCAGCTGTAATGTACTAGTATGATTTTAGAAAATAAGAACGTGTTTTAAATTTCTTAGGCTAAATAGGTTCTTGTTTATAGGGGGTATAAATGACCAATTTTAGGCTAACAGGTTCTTAATTTTTAGGTTCTTAGTTGCGAACTTTTAATGTATTTCGCAACCGCCAAAGAAAAGGTTTTACCTTTTCTATGTTTTGAGGTATGATTTATTACCAGAAAAATGAAAGATACTCGAATAAACGGGCCAGAGGAAAACAAAACCAACAAACGCGAGATATTACCACTAATTCAACATCCACGTAACTTGGTTGGTGGAGAAGAATTATTAATTTATCTTTTTTCACTAGAATCAGGGGAGGGTTCAGATCTTGAAGGACTGGTCAAATCGGGAATTAAGAGTACGCAAATTACTCGTGAGTCTCTTTGGATATCGTGATCAATTGACTCAATAATTCACGTACAAGCATGAATTGAACGTCTTGTGGACATTGTGAGGACTTCTTTTTTGTCACAGTTGTCATATACCCTCCGGCAGCTGCATTTTTTTTTTTAATTTTGACGTTATTGTAAATTAAGTCGTTCCATTCCATTTAAGGACAAGTTTAATCAACAGTGTTTCCTTCAAGAACGCAAAATTAAACTCATTCAAAATCCAAAAAGTTCACAAAGATGTCGAAACTTAAGTGCCGAAAAATATGCGCAACGTAGTCACGCGTGACGTTAATTTGCAATATACCTGGCCTTCCCTCAATTTGCTCCAGTGAGCCAACACAACGAGGTCGAGGCTTTGACGTGCTTCTAAGCGCCATATGAAAGAAAATCTAATAATTTTAGTTCTGACGGCAGCATATGTGCGTACGTCCATACAGAGTTTGGGGGAGGGACTCCATCCAAGAAAACCATCTTTTCTTGACCGAAAAATTCGTGTGATTTGGTTTTGTTCATTTATTTATTTTTTTGTGGGGGGGGGATCCGCGGATGCAAACATAGGAAGAATTATTGTGTTGGCTTAATACACGTGTTTGTATTATTAGTGTTCGAATAAATGCGTGAAAAGCTGCCAAGAATTTGATTTTTTTAGGCAGAGAAATAATTTTTCAATTAAAGAAAAGTAAAAAAGCAGGGAAGACCTGGGAAATCCTCAAATTTTTAGCAAAGCAGCGACATTCAGTGAAATCTAACTGAAACTAAAACAACACATAACACACTGGCATGATGAAGTTAACCTACAAGCCGAAAAAGCCAGAGAGAGTAACGTAGCTAAATGGTAGTCAGTCGGGAAATTCATTGATTCTTGTAGATTACGTTGAATGAAAGTTGAGGTTGTTTTAAACGGGCAGTCATGCGAAATTATAATTAGTTACCGGCCTAAGTAAGTAAGTAAGTAAGTAGGTAAGTAAGTAAGTAAGTAAGTAAGTAACTTTTTGTTTTCTCTGCAAACGATGTTCTAGATTTTCTCTCACAGTTTCCGTTCTCACAGTTCCAAATAAACCACGCACCAGGTTAAAGAATGCTTTAGTTTTCTTCTCGTGAAATCCGTCCAAAATTCGAATCGCTATGACGCCTTAAAATAAATAATATCGGTCAAACATCATACGATTAGAACATTTATAACTTAGAACAACGCCTCTGAATCGTAGTCATAAACAGTTACCGGCACAGTACAAACGGCTCATTGACGGACTCAAGTAAAATTGACTACGAGAGAATGACTGGTCAATTAACCGACAATTTGACTAACAATAACGACCGTTTAACTGTGATAATAGATGGATCGAAACGCACCAATGACATCACGAGCCTTCATAGCCAATAACATCACGGCTTAACTGACAGACGACCAATAACATCGCGACTTAATTGACCAATCAGATCAATAACCAGAAATTAATACTATCAACTGAGGTGACACAACTCACTTTGACTCTGAAGATGACTGCCGCACAGGTTGTAGAAACGTCAGTCACTGTCAACAACAGTCCTATCCGGGACTACTTTCACCCGGACGATCATACTCAACCTACTTATGATCAAACCTTTCACAGTAGAACATTTATAAACTTGGTTTCTATATTAATATATTTACTCTCAGTCCTAAAAGCTAATACCCTTTTTATTCCGCGTATATCTTCATCTGCGGCCACTGAAGACAACTGCAAAGTGAAGTGATGTATTAAGAACTTCAATTCCTAATCAATTTCGAGATTCCATTTTTTGCAAATTCATCTTTGGATTTAAAAAAATTTCCTGAAAGTTAATTGTCTACTTAGAACTTCAATACAATACATATGAGAGACGTGACTGAGTCTTTATTAGGGAAAGTTAGTAAACATACCTGGACAATCAATTATATTGGCAAGCACCTTTACCCCCAGAGTCAATTATGTGACAATTATGAAAATAGGAAATTAGTTCAAAATTTTTAGTTGATAGAAGAAAATCTACGATGTGACCATTCGATATAAACCTAGCATTTAGCACTTCGTCTGCATTACCCCATTTTTACAGTATTTAACAAAACCAAAGTTTAAATTTTTCTCCGCTAGTGGGGAAAGACTAAGTTTGTCTTGCGCGTTTACGAAAGAATTGACGGATTGTCTTCAAAACTGCCGCACGAATTTCTTGAGTACGCCAGCAGTACAAAAATGGATTTATGGACGAGTTCAAAAACGCTATTGTGTCTGCAATGTCCAATCCGCTATCCAGAGGCTGTCCAAAAGCCAAAATGATAGTAACCACCAATATTGGCAAATAACAAAAGATCATACAGATGAAATAAATGAGGGTATTGATGGCACTCTTTGTAGACTGTTTAACATTCGTTGCATCATTACTCAGCCTCTGTATGGCCTGTTGTTGTGATCGAATAGCCAACTTGTGATGCTGTGCAATTTGGTAAATTCTGATGTACGAAAAGGTTGAAATAAAGAAACAAATAGCAATGCCGCCGACAACTATGGCTAGGAAAAGAAGACTTCTTTTCCAAACTATCCTCAGACATGACAAAACAACAAGCACCAACCAGATGCCTGCTATAGTAAATAATGCACGTTTCACTGTCACCAGACCCGAATAACGCATATGGTAACGAAGAGCTAAAAACCGATCCACGCTGATGGCGGTCATGGTGAAGAGAGAAACACCACAGGCTAGAAAAAACATGACCTCTGTTGCTTGTTTTAAAGCTGGGCTGCTATCTGAGTTGATAAGCGCATTGGAAATGTACACCGGTTGAGCTACAAGTCCGACAAGAAGGTCTGACACTGCGAGACTACACAAGAAGAGTATGGACGGTGCTGAACGGAGCGAAAAGGTTCTCAATATGGCAGTCAACACCAAAGCGTTGCCAATGATGGACATGAAAATCAGTGGAGCATTGAGGATACAGTTGATTATTTCAATTGTTTTGGGAGAGTCCATATTTCCCATGTCATCGAGTTCTGATTCGTTTTTCCAGAGAGAAAAGTTTATCATTTTTAGTTCAGTTAAGTCCAATTGGTAACTCATAACAGTAAGCGTTACTGGCTTTCCTTGCTGTCTGAATGGTACCCAAGCAACATATGTATGTGCTACGCATGTCTTTATTATAACTGCGCCTGTAAAGCAGTGGGCAAATTAATAAAACGTGACATTTCTCTGCATAATGACGATAGTAAGGTAGATGCGCAAATTATAGTTTTGCATTTGATGGGTATCATCCGCCGGATGCCACGGGGATAGTTAACTACATTAATCACTGACGAACGAGATCCGGAAGCCAATTATGTCGTTTTCATTGGGTCACAAAGCTACGCTAGTTTGCATAAACACAACAGAAAGTTATTATTAGAGACAAAACAGGAAAACTAAGTCAAAACTGCGGGCGAGGGAATAGAAGTTGGGCATTGTTCTATGCTAAGACGGCTGAAACAAAACAAAAAGGTTACAAAGACATTAACATGACAACGTAACAAAAATTTTGTGATCAAGTTTTTCTCTCCCAGAGTTTGTCTGAAATACTTCTTAGCAACCTGTGATTTAGTGATTAAGTGTTCGGATTCATACCAGTTCAGGTTATTTCAGTATAAGATGGCGCTTACTAACGATATTTTCGACTCTAATAGTCAAACAAAGAAAAATGGTGCATTAGAGATACGCCTAAATATGAAGTCAAATTTGTGGCACCGTACTTTAAGCGCTTAGAACTGAAAAGTATAAGCGCTATATAAATATTTTATTATTATTTATTATTATTAAATGAGCCGAACTCAACTAGTTGAATTCGGAGGTGCGGCATTTGGCCTCTTTTAGCTTGTATGGCGGCATTGATACAGAAGGAACATCCAACGAAGGTTTCCACCTAAATACATTGACTATTCAGAGCACGCTTAGATATCTAGAAATGCATTCTAATAGGCGCTAGAAAATGTGTATGTGTTCGAAATTACAAGGGCCTTAGCAATAATTTTCCTGAATATTTTTGATGCAATTGAACGTATTACGAAAGTAAGAATTTTCCTGATTCCTCTCTGCATCACATTTTTGAAGACGAAAATTTTAGGTTTCCTTAAATTGGCCTATCCTGGGAAATAAACTGCGAAAATTAAACTTGAGATAATCGTAGGCAATTCATTAGATAGGCTTCGAAAATTGTACATGAATGGTAGGGTCATCTAGAAATTTGTCGGCGTCCTCAGGTGATAGAACATTCTAGGCAATATTTGCTTCTCCGAACAGATATTTTACACCTCCGTCCATCCAAACTTAAATAGGGCAATCGTCAAATCGTCACAAAATTGTAATCAGAATTCCATTTGCCAACAAAAACAAAACGCTTTTTTCTGGATTATATAACTCCATGATTATCAGGGGTCTTGGATGACGTGATCTCAAATTGAAGATTTGTCTCTATAATGCGATGAAAAAAGTGTAGAAGTTTTATCGTGCGGATTAAAGAAACTTTGGTTAAACATTTCAAAAGGAAGAACTGTTACAAGGCGTATACAAATTATGTGCAGACTGAGAAAAGTCTACGTGCGTTTGCAATTAAAACCCCTTCAAAATAAGCAAACAATTCCACATCTTGAGAGGATGTTGGTAAACTTTGACTTCCTGCAGACGAAATGCTGTTCATAAGATCAAAATGGCTCCATTAGGGCAAAACTATTATATCAGCTTTAATTTAAGCCGACTACTCCTTATTACTTTCTGGTTTTTATTGTTTAGTTTATTTATTTAGTCGACATTCTCTGATGAGAGGAAATGATATATCAAATGAATGTGTTTTAAAGTTCGTTCTTCACAATGGCGACTTTTTTGATAACTTATAATCGGACACTGAATAACAGGCCTCAGCCAGCTTATACTGTGACTAATCTTGGATCTTTGAGTATATTGACATTTTAAAATTGTCTTAGTTTCTTATTTGCCACAAATCACCTGCCTTGCTGCTCACGTATTAAGTGCGACGCGTTGAACATTAGCAATGAACACAATGGAAAGATCTGTTATCTCGTCCGTTTACTTCATGAGCGGAAAAAAATGTACGATACTCAAATAACCGCCAGGAGAACCAAAAACAGTTTTAAAGATACTACCATGACAACAGTTCGCTTGAGCAAGATTTTTTATGTTGTCCAATTGCGTTTGCTCTATCTCTAACACTTTTGTATCGCAATTAAAAAATTTTTTCAAATGACGTCCATTTTGAAACTGATTGTGGCTTTAGATAGATAACTTTAGTACCGACATCTTAACGCTGCTAAAGTTAGTTACTACTTTAAGCAATGCATTCATTTCTCTTTCGAAAGTTCTGGAACAGTCGGCACGATTACTATCACATCTGATTGGTGTATATCAATTACGGCTCCCACGCGCGAGTTTGCGAGAAAAAAATGGCGAAAACAAATGTTGAAGCCACGCGCGGTAAACCAGTAAAATACTGCACGTCAAGAGAATTTTGGAGTCTACCAAAACGCAAGAATTTACTATAGCACTTATTACTTTGATGGAAAGAAGAAAAGGAACGTTGAATGGTTAAAAAAGAAGGTTATGTTATAAGTGCTTAGAATTTGTTTCTTAAAAATGTTTGCCTTACACTGACAACTGGAAGGGTCTGCATGACAAGCTTGAATGATAAAGCGCATCTTTCACGCGTCTCCTAACCCTAACTCTAACACAGCAGCACTCGCCCGCTAACCTCGCCAGTTACGCAGAATAGGGAATCGAAATCATGAGTGCCTTAACCTTTCGACTTGTTTCTGACTGAATTGCAGGTGAAACTGGTTTAATCGTTTCAAAAGAAACGTTTCTGATCTCATTTAGACCTAAATAGAACTCACTCTGATAATACTTAGCATTACTGCAAAAAAAGATATTTTTGCGGATACGTCTTAATTACTTACAGACGGAAACTAGACGGCGAAATCAGCCACTGCAAGCGCTACAAATTTACCAACGAGCACGACTTATTGGGTGTTCATACCTTTTTCTTCTTCGAGGGAGTATACCAGTATCCGGCCGATTGAAACAAAAACTCAATTTTTGCAGCGCCCTTTTTAGTTTTCGGTAAACAAAGTATTTCGAACGGAAGCTGAAGATTTCAGCTTTAAAATGCAAGTTTTGACGGGTTTTTACTGCACATCAGACTAAATGGGGGAGTGACCTTTGACCGTCGGAAGGGCCCTTCTCCATTTTTTTTTTTTTTTTAACAAAAAAAAAAAAAAAAAAAAAAAAAAAAAAACCGGTTCGCAAATTAGCCCCTCGCGTAGTTTTCCCCAACATACCCCAGTCATTTGTTATGTTTTGTTTCTCGATCCTTGGTTCCCAGGTCGATTTATATTTTTGGAATCGAATGGCAGACTACTTTGCAAGTGCAACTGAAAATTAAAAGTCGCTTGCCTGTCGAAATTTATGTATAATTACGTTGTTATTGTTGTGGCCGGATAATGGGCAACATAGGAGGTCTGGAAAAATATTAATTTGGCGATAGAAACGAAGGTATAAAAATTAAACTCTCTTTCATCATGTTAAGGACTAAATAGATTGTCTCTGTGCCAAATTTCAGAACTCTTGCGATCAAGACAGGAAAGTTACTGCAATGTTAAACTGAAGTGACCGGATACTGGGAAACGTACTTGTATCTGAATATGAATGCAAGTTATAATTATTTAGATCAGACACGTGGCGGGTTCAGGTCTGTCAAGACAAAGATTTTGCGGTCGGTCTCCCTTCCTCAAATGATAAATAGATAAACTTTGTTGTTAAAATTCGGACTCTTTACGATTACCCCGCACTATGATGATGGAAAGACGGTCTATGTTCTTGTGGAAAAGGATCAGTGATATTGTGTAACTATAAGGAGGGCTGAAATTGTATTTGTTTTATAATTTTTTAAACACAGTTCAACAATTAAAGTTTGAATTCCGCTCCTCTACCTTATCGAACTTAAAAACTTCGGATGAGGGAGATGTAACAAAAATGAGACAGTGATAGTTTTTTTTTTTTTTTTTTTTACTGTCTGGCAGTTGAAAAAAGGAACCTGAAACACTCATATGTTAAAATAAATGGTGTTAGAGAATTAAAAAGTGCCGCTAGTTTCAGCGGAAGTTATTGGAAGACTGACCATCTTTACCAGAACCAATTTACGGTTATTCAACATTTGCCTTTGATCTCATTCTTAGCTAATTTGGCAGGTGACGGATCTTCATTGGTTTAGCTAACGTTGTTTTTTGATAATAGCACTAATATACACACAGACCAGGTAATTTTTATGGTAATAATTTGTGCCTTTCACTAAGTAGAAAATCGAGCAGTTGTTTGAGTTCTGATGAACGGTAGGTAGGGGTAATGCGCCAGTATGATTAAAGTTTAATTATTACGCTTGTATATAACAGTTACATATTACGCATTTTTAAAAAGGAAAAACTAATTAATGCTGAGAATCTTTGAAAACAAATGTAAACGAATACTTTTTAAAGTATACACGTTGGAATTGCATGTTCTTGATATTTTCGGGTAAGAGTAATTCTTAATTTAAAAAAAAACTAATAAAAAATGGGGGAATAACTGTTCATTATTTTTCTTTGCGTTAGCGAAAGAGGAACTTTTAAACAGTGTCAATGGAATCGATTAACGCTCAGCTTGATAAAATAACAAACTAAGACTTGGACTTGGTGAAATATAAGTGAATGCAGGGTTCATTTTGCGGTTCATAGATCGACGGTTATCCAAGTGGGTCGTAATGAATAGCGAAAAAACGATCACCACGCTGTCGGCCGTCATTGCCAAGGCATACTTAAACTATTTTCTAAATTTCAACAGATAGAGAACTTTCGAAAAATCATTAGCGGCAATGTATACTGTCGCTGCGAAATTTGGGTTTGACGAATTATGTGAAGTGCGGTATCTCGCTTAGCACTCAAATCTTCACGGAAACGAAGTTTAGGCAAAGTTCAAGGATGTTTGCATGGCGAAGGTCTCGTTACAAATACCACTAGTTTAACCTTCAAGCTCGCTAGCTACCTCCGTTTGTTTACACATCATTTTTCGGACTACCTTTACAGCTGATGTTCGGATTTCACGATTACACCAACAGTACAAAAATGGATTTACTGACGAGTTCAGGAACACAACAGTGTCTACAAAGGACCAATTCCAGTCATAGCCTATAACTAACTTAAAGGTGGTTCGCAGCAATGAATAAGATAGATAAGGTAAGCAACAACATATCATGCAGATGTAATATGTAAAAGTCTTTGAAGCACGTTTCTTTGATATTATCATGTTATTACTATCTGGAATATTTACACTAATATTAAAACTGTTCACAGCTTGTTGCTGAGCGTGAATCTGGATCTGATGGTGACGAACAATAAAATAAATTTTGATGTAAGAAGCGGACGAAATGACTAAACAAATTGTAATATACACTCCTGCAATAAGAAAAAAAACTTCTGATTTCCAAACTTTAAGGCATAGTAAAAGTATAGAAACAAACCAGAGACTTGCTGAGGCATATAATACACGTTTTGTTGTCATTAAATTCGGATACGTCGTGTGATAGTGAAGAGCTAAAAGTCTATCAACGCTTATGGCTGTTATTGTTGTGAGGGAAACACCACAAAGGAAAAAAGACATAAAGTCTTCGACTTTGGCAAGAGGCCCACCAGTTAAATGGTGAAGTTTATTGGCAATGTAAACAGGTTGGACAACAAGCCCAACAAAAGAAAATCTGGGATAGCGAGACTGCATAGGAAGATAGTAGACGGTACCGAACGAAGCAAAGCAGTTCTCAAGATGGCGACCAACAGCAAAGCATTACCAGTGATGGATGTGAACATTAGTGGAACATTGAGGATGCAATTCATAACGACAACATGCAGTTCCCAATTTAGAACTGTTCTCCATATTTCCCATGTTGTCGGGTTTTGTTTCGTTTTTTTTTTGACAAAGGAGTAGTTTAGCATCTTAAATTTCTTTTTTAACTTTTGTTGATGCACGTCAAGTTTCCTTTACAAAAAGACACGGTGACTTTGCAGCCTTTATTCATAATTTATCCTACTAGTGTAACTGGCACCTGTTTGACTCTTTAAAAGCCTTACTCTGTTTCCATTAAGTAAAGTTTAACTCAGCCATACTTTGTCTGAATACGCTTTTATTGACGCGCAATTATTTAAACAGTGCATGAAACATTCATCGCATGAGCCCAGGCAGGAGCCGATTGTAAATAGGGAACTTTAGACCCTGCTTACATGGAGTGGGGGACCCCGGTCTAGTGGGGTTGGTTTCTTTTGTTTTCACGCTCTGGGGGACACAAAGCAAAAGAAACCAACGCCACTAGACCGGGGTTCCCCACTCCATGTAAACAGGGTCTAAGCAACGACGACGACGAAGACAACGAGAATTACGTAAGAAAAAAAAAAAGGCTTTTGAAGCAAAACAACAACTTTGCACGTGCATTACGCTTTTTTGTCATTTCTTTGCCGTCACTGTGCACGACTACTGCGTGAAAATGCCTCATTTCGCGTTTTATGGAGGACGTAAACAAGCGACGACAAATTTTTCTTTCTCTTTCTTAACTTGAGTGCGGCCCTCAAGAAATCAACTCCAGGAAAACGTGGCTATTTCCCCCGCAGCTGTTTGTTTAGTCTACTCTCGGTGAACTACTGTTGTGGTCATTATGAACTACTTGTGTGGTCATTGAACTACAGTAACTGGCGTAGTTATTAAATTGTGTGGTCAGTAAATTGATTGTCTTTTCTAAACTATGCAGACAAAACACAAAACAAAAAATAATGAAAACTGAATAGGCTCAGGTTAGCAATGGCGCCTGTGGTGTTCTTGGGGCTTGGTACAAAAGCAAAACAAAAGTTTCCCAGTAAATTATTAAGATATAAATATATTTATTTCCACCCATTTTCGCCAAAAAGGCAGTCTGAAGAAATCATTTCCACCTTTAAAGGACAACAAAATCTATTGTTTGTCCCCAAATCCCTACCCCTAAATCGCTTCTCTTATTCTGGGTCCAATCCATTTCGCTAACTATACAAGTATAGGTATACTCAAATTGGTGGAAAAGAACTGGCCTGATCTACAACGTGGATATGAAATGACATGTTTTGTATTACTACAATGAAATTAGACTGTGGTTGTCGTTTATAAACTTACAACCTGAGAGCTAAGTATTCTAAGTCGTTACCTGACATCTAATATAAATGGTGAGGATCCTGGAAATTTTTGCTTGTAGAATCCGGATCGAATCCAGAAATGTTTGCTTGTAGAATCCGGAATCCTCCTAACGATTGGAAAATCCAAGTTCCACTTTAGTTACAAAGCCTGGAATCCCGAGTTCCCGGAATCCAGAATCCATGGCGTATAATCTAGAATCCAACGCTGTCTTAGATACCCTTACCCTATGATGGGTGGAAATTCTTCATAATTAACTTTTATGCAAAACCACACTACCGAGTCAGCTCCCTAAGTTTGTATACCATCGTCTGTTGCATTATCTTTTTAACGCTGACGTTCGGATTTGACGATTACGCCAACAGAACAAAAACGGATTGATTGACGAGTGCAAGAACACCACAGTGTCCGCTAAACACCAGTTTCTGTTCCAGTCCATCGAAGTGGTAGAAAAATATGCAGCTATTAGAAATGGTACACAGCAAAATATCATGCAAATATAATACATAAATGTGTGTTTAAAGCACTTTTCTTTGATGTTACCTAGTTAAGATTATCGGCTGGAGTAGTATTCAGACTAGCTTTTAACAAACACTCAAAGAATTTCCATTTAGATGCCAGTGTCGACAAAAACAATCTGAAGCGAGCGTTTTGTATGAAAAAGGGCAGGACTAGTGAAGTGTCAAGACCAGATTGGCGCTAAGGTATAAGCACGCTCAAGCAAAGAATAACTGAGTAGAATATGCTAACTTTGCTACTTTTTTCGTCACATTTGCAAATGTTTAATATTCTTGTCTTCTCAATGTTTCGGACACTAGTGCACTTTTTTTTTACCTGTTATAATAAGCGCTCAAAACATGGTTCGAGTTATCGAAGGAAAAATAATATGGAAACGATCTGAGGGGACACAAAAATTACTTCGAGTTAGCGGGAGGTTCGAGTTATCGATGGTGAAATTACAGTTAATGTATGAAGGAAACCCTGGGGAAATCGATTTTGGTTCGATCGAATTAGCGCGAGGTTCGAGTTATCGCGGGAGTCGACTGTAGATTAAGCCTCATACATCCAATGAAAGTTTGTTGTTGTTTAAAATGAGCGGCTTGTGAAATTAGCAATCCTTCACCATAAGTACTGTAATCCGCTTCAGTTTAAGTTACACTGTTATAATGTTGCGATTTTGAATTCTTCTTTAAATCCTTTGTTTTTCCCATTATTAAGTTCTGTTTTCTTCTTCAAACGATGTTCTAGATATCACCCATACTTTTCCTTCTCACAGTTCCAAATAAACCACACACCAGGTTAAAAGAATGCTATTATAATATAGTTTTCTTCCCGTGAAATCCGTCCAAAATTCGAAGCGCTATAAGACCTTAAAATAAATAATATCGGTCACGCATCATACAATTGGAACATTTATAACTTAGAACAAACGCCACTGAATCGTAGCCAATAGTTACCGGCACAGTACAAAAGGCTTATGGACGGACTCAAGCAAAAATAGCCATGAGAGAAAGACCGGACAACCGACAATTGGACTAACAATAAAGGACTCTTTCTGAACTGTGACAATACACGGATCGAAACGCACCAATGACATCACGAGTCTTCATAGCCAATAACATCACGGCTTATTAAACTGACAGACGACCAATAACATCGCGACTTAATTGACAAAACAGATCAATAACCAGATTTTAATACCATCAACTACCGCACATGTTATGTCAAAACGTCAGTCACTGTCAACAACAACAGTCCTATTCAGGACCACGTTCACCCGAACGATCATACTCAACCTACTTATGAAATGACTCCTACCTTTCACAGTAGAGCAAGACGGCGTATTTTTACTACCAAGACCAGAATTGATTTCGTTTTTCATATTTAAATTTGCTAGTCCCAGATAGGTTTTTATAATTTGTACAAGAAAGCAATACCCTGAAGGATTCTTGTCCTAGTAGTAAAATGACGCCATCTTGCAAATGGCCTCTTAAACTTCTATAAGAAATGATTATTCTGAGTCCTAAAAGCTAATACCCACATTTGAAAGATAGCTTAAATTCATCTCTGTGTTTAAACAAATTTCCTGAAAGTTGTCTATTTAAGAACTTCAATACAATACATAGAAGAGACGTGAGTCTTTATTTAGGAAAAGTCATTAACCTGTGACAGTCAGCTGCGAAAGCGTAAAGGGTTTTAGCGCCTTCACCGCCAGAGTCAATTATGTGACAACTGTATGGAGATAGGAAATTGGTTCAAAAATTTTGAGTTTATGAAAGAAAATCTACGATGTGACCATTCGAATTAAAACCTAGTATTTAGCACTACGTCTGCATTACGCCATTTTTACAGTATTTAACGAAACGAAAGTTCGAATTTTTCTCCGCTAGTGGGGAAAGACTAAGCGTTGTCTTCAGTTGCTCGCTTACAAAAGAATTGACGGATTGTCTTCCAAACTGCCGCGCGAATTTCCTTAGTACGCCAGCAGTACAAAAATGGATTTGTGGACGAGTTCAAAAACGCTATAGTGTCTGCAATGTGCAATAGACTATGCAAGGTCCTCCCGAAAGCCAGAATCAAGGCAACCATGAATATTGGCGAGTAACAAACGACCATACAGATGTAATAAAGGAGGGTATTAATGGCACTTTTCGTGGATCGTTTAATGTTCGTATCAGCACTCAACCTTTGTATGGCCTGTTGTTGTGATCGAATAGCCAACTTGTGATGCCTTACAATTTGATAAATTCTGATATACGAAAAGGTTGAAATAAAGAGGCAAATAGCAATGCCACCGACAACGATGGCAAGGAAAAGAAGACTTCTTTTCCAAACTATCCTCAGACATGACAAAATAACAAACACAACCCAGATGCCTGCTATAGTAAATAATGCACGTTTCACTGTCATCAGACCCGAATAACGCATATGGTAACGAAGAGCTAAAAACCGATCCACGCTAATGGCTGTCATGGTGGAGAGAGAAACACCACAGGCTAGAAAAAACATGACCTCTGTTGCTTGTTTTAAAGCTGGGCTGCTATCTGAGTAGATAAGCGCATTGGAAATGTAGACCGGTTGAGCTACAAGTCCGACAAGAAGGTCTGACACTGCGAGACTACACAAGAAGACTATGGACGGTGCTGAACGGAGCAAAGAAGTTCTCAGTACGGCAGTCAACACCAAAGCGTTGCCAATGGTGGTCATAAAAATCAGTGGAACATTGAGGATACAGTTGATTATTTCAATTGTTTTGGGAGAGTCCATATTTCCCATGCCATCGAGTTCTGATTCGTTTTTCCTAAAGAGAGAAAAGTTTATCATTTTCAGTTCAGTAAGCGCTTCTGGCTTTCCTTGCTGTCTGAATGGCACCCAAACAACGTATGTATGTCCTACGCATGTCTTTATTATAACTGCGCCTGTAAAGGAGTGGACAAATTAAGTAGTGTATATAAGTTTTAACCCAACCATAAAACGTGACATTTTTCTCGGCATATGACGATAGTAATATAGATGCGCAAATTATTGTTTTGCATTTGATGGGTATCGCTCGCCAGATGGGATAGTTGACTACATTACAGTATCACTTATTAATAAGAACGAGGTCCTGAAGCCAATTATGTCGTTTTGATTGGGGGGCACAAAACCACGCTAGTTTGCGTAAAAACAACAGAAAGTTATTATTAAATACAAAACAGGAAAACTGAGTCAAGCTTGGGAATGGAGGTTGGGCACTGTTCTATGCTAATTGCACGCCAGTAAAGAAAATTAGACGACTGAAACAAAACAAAAAGGTTGCAAAGAAATTAACATGACTACGTAACAAAAATTTCTCTCTAAGTTTCACGAAGTTTGTCTGAAAGACTTCTTAGCAACCTGTGATGATGATCGGATTCATACCAGTTCAGGTTATTTCAGTATAAAATGGCGCTGATTAACGATATTTTCGTCGCTAATAGTCAAACAAAGGAAAATGGTGCATTAGAGATAGGCCTAAATATGAAGTCAAATTTGTGGCACCGTAGTACTTCAAATGAGCCGAACTCAACTAGCTGAGTTCGGAGGTGCGGCGTTTGACCCCTTTTAGTTTGTACGATGGCATACAGAAGGAGCACCCAGTGATGGTTTCCTCCTAAATACATTGACTATCCAGAGGACGTTTAAATATCTAGAAATCTATTCTAAGAGGCGCTAGAAAATGTGTATCTGTTCGAAATTACAACGGCCTTATTATTATTTTCCCGAAAATTTTAGATGCAAATTAACGTATTATGAAAGTAAGAATTTTCCTGATTCCTCTCTCCATCACATTTTTGAATACGAAAATTTTAGGTTTCCTTTTATTCTATGAAAAATAGCCTATCCTGGGGAATAAAATGCGAAAATTAAACTTCAGAAAATCGTGCGCAATTTATTAGATAGGCTTCGAAAACTGTACATGAATGCGGGTAGGGTCATCTGGAAATTTGTAGCCGTCCTCAAGTGATAGAACTGTTCTAGGCAATGTTTGCTTCTCGGAACAGATATTTTACACCGTCCGTCCATCCAAACTAAATAGAGCAATCGTCAAATCGTCACACCTCACCTGAGCCGAACGCAATGTTACTTGTCTTGCAAAGCTGCTGAGCAAAATGACCGGTGAGTTTCTTTTAAAAAAGTTGAGCTGAATTATGTTCGGCTGTTTGACCAAAACTGTAACCAAGTACTCCTCATGTCAAGTAACGCTTTTTACTGGGGCCTAAACAAGAAATGAGTTCAAATTCACTTAAAAGTCTGAAAATTTACTTGATCAGGATGTAATCGTATTTGCTTTGTTTTGTAACTTAGATAGCTGTAAAGTTCACCGTTTAATTTGAGGTAGACTCTGACACCATGTTAAGTTCATCAGAAATCGAGGCGTGTTGCTTAGAATTTTCTTAACAGCTGTCTTAATGTCGTCAACGGACCCACAACAAGGATCTCGGTGCCGCTTCGCAGACGTTACTAGCTGGGGAAAGATTACGCCAGTGCGATGCAGACTACTTGAATTACCCCTAGGGGTAAAAATGACAGCAGCAACAACTTCCTGTTTTACATTAATTTTTATTCCTACTTCTCGTTTTCAAAAAGTTTTGTTTAAAGAGCAAATTCAGTACCCACATCTTAACGCTGCGAAAGTCAGTTAAACCATTTATTTATCTCTCGAAAGATCTGGAACAGTCGGCACGATTACTATCTGATTGGTGTATTTCAATTACGGCTCCCACGCGCGAGTCTGCGAGAAAAATAGTGAAAACAAATGTTGAAGCCATGCACGGTAAACAAGTAAAATATTTGCACGTCAAGAGAATTTTGCAGTGTACCAAAATGCAAGAATTAATTTACTATGGGACTTATTAATTTGATGGAAAGAAGAAAAGGAGCGTTGAATGGTGAAACAAGGAGGTTTTAGTAAGCTTATAAGAACTTGTTTCTTAAAGTTTTTGCCTTAAAAGGGTCTGCATGACAAGCAGAATGATAAGGCGCATCTTTCACGCGGCTCCTAACCCCAACTCTAAAACAGCAGCACTCGCCCGCTGGCCCGCCAGTTACGCAGGCTAGGCGCACAAGCTTTAACCTTTCGACTTGTTTCTAACCGAATTGCAGGTGAAATTGGCTCGATCGTTTCAAAGAAACGTTTCTGATCCGAGTTAGACCTAAATAGAACTCACTAATAATACTAAAAATTACTGATAAACTGATGTTTTGTGCGGAAAGTAGACGGCAAAATCAGCCACTGCAAGTGCGACAAATTTACCAACGAGCACGACGTATTGGGTTTTAATAACTTTTTTTTCGTCCATTATTTGCATACATACATACATACATACATATCCTTTATTTAAACACGATATGGTTTAAAGCTCAAAGCTTGTGGGGTCGTGTAAAAATGATTACAAATGGGTAAAACTGCATAAAAATAGGAATAACATCACTTACAATTAAAACTCTAAAAATATATATACAGTAAGATTCTAACCAAAAAGTAAAGAAAGAAATAAATAAAAATAAATTTTTAAAAAATACAAGGTTAAAATGAATTTACATTAGTTACCTCTAAGTAAATTGACTACAGCATTTAAAACAAAAAATAGTTAAAAGCATTTAAAATCTTGGTAGTGCCTGGGTAGCGACTGGACCGACTGTGCGCTAAAATCAAGTTCCTTAAAATAAGAGTCCTTCTTCACTTTGCGATAAAAAACAGTAAACTGGTTTGTAAAATGACTCGAGACAGCGTTCCAAAGAATAGCGCCTCTATAGCTAATAGAGTTTTTAAGAAACTGCGAGTTAAAACGCGGGACGATTATGTTATTACTCCTTCTGAAGTTGTATGCAGTGCAGAAGGAGTAATACGAACGAAGGAGTAATACGAACGTATGCAAACGTATTTGCATACGAACGCAAGTTATAATTATTTAGATCAGACATGTGACGGATTCAGCTCTATCAAAACAAAGATTTCAGGGTCCGTCTTCCTTCCTCTAAAGGTAAATAGGTAGACTTTGTTAAAATTCGGACTCTCTATGCGATTAACCCGCACTATGATGATGCTAAGACGGACTATGTTCTTGTTGAAAAGGATCAATAATACAAGGAAGGCTGAAAGTATGATTTGTCAGACACAATTCAACAATTAAAGTTTAGAATTCTTCTCTCCTCTCTCTTAACCAACCTTTACAACAAGCTAGTTAATATAACAAATAACACAGAATTACTTGGTAATAATGCGCCACTGAGTATGATCAGAAACTCATAAGGTGTTGAAACGTGCAACTCTCAGTTGTTTGCTTTGTCCGATGCTCGTGATTATTCATTTTCGAAAGTACCATATTTGGAATGAGAAGAAGAGATAACCGACCAATCAAACTTCGTAAACAACGTGACGTAGTTTTACCTCAGGTTCCCGCGCCCACTTGAAAAAATCGCCGACAAACGGGGCAAATACTCCCAAAAGCCGAGAAAGCTTTCAAAGGTTGAAACCAGGAATCTTACCGAAACACTAAGCAGGATATTGTTGCCTTACCACCCGGACCAAACGTAACATTATGATTCCCTTTGACGTCCTCGCAACTTCTTGAAGCTTCCACTTCAGAAAACGATGCCTCGTTGACCCTCTGCACAGTAAACTTACGATGCAAACAGGCTTTTAAAATACTTATATTGAAAGTCTAGAATAAACAGTGAAAGATATTTTCGAATAAAATTGATTAGCTGCGTATCGAAAAGTGTCCAAAACCTGAACCTGACATCTTCGCAAAAAGTGATGCGTGTAATCAATGTGAGAAGCGTTAAGCTAAAATTCAGCTTGGATGTTGTAGTGACGATCGTGTTTTGAGCTAATTTTATGAATGGACAAACTCAAAACAATAGACAGAGGAGCCGTTTCTTGAAAATTTTTATTCAAAATCCAAAAAGTTAATCCTTTAAAACAATTCGGAAAAAAACTATCTCGATCGTGGATCCGTTCACGCAAGTGAAATCGGCTGTGCACATGGCAAAATTCAACACAAAATCCAACTCAAATCGGGGCACATTTTGTAATTTTTCTTTAGCGCCGAAGAGAAAAATTTATAAAACGTCTATGCAACATTTAAAAAAACATAAATTCCCTTTCAAAAACGTAATTGTCTTGGCCATAGAGTGCAAAATGTACCTGAAAATTCAGCAAAAACTTCACTGCCTTGGTTCCATTTCAAAGCAGACCAGAGATCTGTCGTGAAGAAAGCAAGGTTGAATTCCTCGAGGGACGATTTCTTGATGAAAAGCTTCCCTTCCTCCACAAAAAGAAAGCTGAGCATTCTTTTGAACTTTCTCTGAAAAGCAGAACTCTTGTCTTAATACATCTGCATGGTGATCGCGTGGGAGCCATTGTGTTGAAAATGGATATCTGTCACTAAGGTTTCCAAATATGGTAAAAGTGAATATTCACGAGCATTGAACGCGAGTTACACGTTTCAACCCCTTATGGCTTTCTGGTATGATTAAAGTTTACTTATCACGCTTGTATATGACAGCTGCATATTACGCATTTTTAAAAAGGAAAAACTTAATGTTGAGAATCTTTAATGGTGTAAACAAATGAATAAACGAGTGCTTTTAAAACGGTGTATACGTTGGAACTGTTCTTGATATTTTCGGGTAATTCTTAATAAAAACTAATAAAGAAAATGGGGAAATAACTGTTCACATGTTTCTTTGAGTTAGCGGAAGAGGAACTCTTTAACAGTCTCGACGGAATCGATTGACGCTCAGCTTAGTCACTTTGTCTACATATTTTGTAATATTACTTTGCAGCGGATGTTGAGATTTCACGATTTTGTCAACGGTTACAAAAAAAAAAAGCTTAGAGCACTCGCAGCACATAAGATAGAGAATTCTCTGAACTATTCTTAGTATTCTCAGGTTTATTCTGAGCGGAATCTGTATCATGATAACTCGAGACGATGCATTAAATTTGATGTAGTAAACAGCAGAGATAAGAAAGCAAAATAAAAATGGTTATGCAGACAATAATAAGTTATTTCTTCGGACAAAACAATGAAAAAACAACAACAGCAGCAGCAACAACAACTGTAAAGTGCTGTATCTCTTTCAGCACACAAGTCTTCGCGGAAACGAAATCCCGTTATGTGAACAGAACTTTTCGCAAAGTGTTAAGCCACTTTTCTCTCAAAAGTTTAGGCAATAGTTCAGGGAAGTTTGCATAGCGTAGTGAGGGTCTGTACTATATTCCGCTCTTTATAAATACAAGTTTAACCTTCAAGTTCGCCAGCTTCCCCCGTTTGTCTACACATCATCTTTCGCACTATCTTTACAACAGACTTGCGGATTCGACGATTACACCAACAGAACAAAAATGGATTTATCGACGAGTTCACGAACACCAAAGTTTCTACGAAGGACCATTTTAACCTGTCATAACCTATAACTGAGGCGATGAATAGCAATGAAACAGATAGATAAGGCAAGTAACAAAATACCATCAGGCGTAATACATAAAAGTCTTTAAAGCATGTTTCTTTGGTATTAGCATGTTATTACTATCTGGAATATTTACACTGATACTAAAATTGTTCACAGCTTGTTGCTGAGCGTGAATCTGGATCTGATGATGACGAACAATAAAATAAATTTTGATGTAAGAAGCGGCTGAAATGACAAAACAAATTGCAGTCAACACTCCTACGATGAGAAAATATACGCCTGTAATCCAAACTCCAAGGCATGATAACATTATGGAAACAAACCAGAGACTTGCTGAGGCATATATTGCACGTTTTGTTGTGATCAAATTCGGATATGTCATGTGATAGTGAAGAGCAAAAAGTCGATCTAGCCTTATGGCTGTTATCGTTGTGAGGGAAACGCCACAGAGAATGTAAGTCATAAAACCTGTGGCTTTAAAAAAAAACTCACTAGTTGAATTGTTTAGTTTCCTAATGATGTAAACAGGTTGAACAACAAGCCCCACAAGAAAATCTGTAATAGAGAGACTGCATAGAAAGATATTCGACGGTAGTGAACGAAGCGACGGAGTTTTCAAGATGGCAGCTAACACCAAAGCATTACCAGTGATAGATGCGAACATCAGTGGAACATTGAGGATGACAACTGCAGTTTCCAAGTGAAAACTGTTCTCCACATTTCCCATGTTGTATGGTTTCGTTTCGTTCTTATTGACAAAGGAGTAGTTTAGCATTGCTCGATTTCTTTCTTTTCTTTTCCGTCTTTTCTTTGCTTATATTGTTGCTCGTCGCGTTTCTTTTACAAAAAGACGCAGTGACCGTTTGCAGCTTTTATTTCGTTATTTGTTGTAATTGTGTAACTGACCTGTTCGACTCTTTAAAAAGTGTTTCCTGATGGGTTCATCCATAACGATTGAACTCCTACATAAGTAACACTTAGAGCAGCTGTAATCGGTCTCAAAATGTTTTAATTGCCTTGCATTTATTATTGACAAAGTCAAAACAGTATTTAGAAACATAGACAGTCAAGCATAAAACATTCATCGCATAGATAAAATACAAAAAAGCTTTTACAAGAAGGGAACGGAGCTGAAAATGAAAGATTAAAACGTACGCTTTTTTAGTATTATTTTAAGTTAATGTGTTTCGAGGTATTAAATAGACCCGTCCTCATCTATTTAAAGAATAAATTTCATATATTAAAAAGAGCTTCGAGAATATTAAAGAGACTTAGAAAATGCCAGGCAGCTAAAAGAGAACTTTTCAGTCTGAAATCATTTAGTATTCAGGCTGAGATGAGAGATGAAACTAGCTGTATGACAAGAAGTTCAATTTGTTAAATTTAGCATTTCCATTTGTTTTAATTTTAATTAGCTACTTTGCTTGATTCACTCAGTGGGAAGAAGAAATAAGTGTCTATTAGTTCCAAGCGCATATTGATTTCGTAATAAACAACTAGTATAGCTTGTTAGCAATTGCAATGTCGGCAAATTAATAGGCCACTTCCAAGTTCCAAAAACCCTCATATTCAAAATGAGGCCAAGTGCACAACCTTCATTGTGAAAATGAATTTTATTTGCATGAGAATGAAGAATCATTTAATACATATCAAAGGCTGAGCACTTAACCTCGTTTTGATACAGAGGCCCGGGGGGAACTCGGAAATGGTCTATTAAGGCTCGAATAAGTATTCTCGTCACCAGAGCCCGTTGTTTCCTTTAGACACATGCCTGTGAAAGGAAGTGAGTATTTAAAACACTTGACGAGGTCGAAAATTCCACCGAAATATTTTGAAAGCCACTTGCACATCTCCCATAATGCACCTTATTTGCCCCCCCAAAATTTTGCATAGGCATTGTTTAATTTCAGTTTCCCTTAGGACGGCTGTAATACCCAGGAGAAATAAAAAACAAAGGTTATGCAAAATTTTGGGGGAGGGGGGGGCAAATCGGGTGCATTATGGGAGATGAGCAAGTGGTGTATGTTTCGAAAAAGACCGTCAATGGAGAAAAATTGCCATGTATTAGCTCTTCTAACTTGAGGCCCATTTTTGATGAGAATTCATCAAGAACAAGAGAATCGAAAAAGGGAAAAAAGACGCTGTTCTGAATAAATATCGTGAGCGAAAAAAAGTCCCTTCTTAGTTCTAGAATACTACCACGATTCGGAAGGTTTCGCAAGACAGCCAAGCGCGATGAATTTACTCGTGTTGAGTGCGAATTCCATTAGCCACTTTGAAAACGAGGAGACTGGAGGCGAAATGCGTCCTGCAATAGGCTATTTCTACTACCGCAAATGATCTCCACAATGGGACCGCAAATGATCCTCGACCCCAAGTGATCCCCATTGTCGGCCGCAAATGATCCCGTGAAAAGTAGAGGAATGGAATGGATTTTAGGCACAGATGGTGAACTGGAACAACGCGTAAAACAATGAAATGAATTAAAACGATATATTGACCATTCTGCTTCTTAAGGAAATAGTTTCTCCATTCTTTTTAGCAATGATATTTCTTGCTGTGAAAAATTAAGACAGGAAGGGTCGTCTAGCAGGAAACTCGCCTTTTATTTTAAAACCGAAAAAAACGGACATATGACCCCGCGACGCTTAATTGTGTGTATGTCTCATACGCCATCTAATCAACATAGAACATATTTATGGAGATACGTCTTTTGAATGCGCTTCCCGTATATTGTTGAGCCTGTTAGGTACACACAAAAAGGATCTCGGCGCCGCTTCGCAGAAGTTACTAGCTGGGGTAAGATTACGCCAGTGCGATGCAAACTACTTGACAACAACTTTCTGTTTCACATTAATCGGATGTTTAATTTTTATTCCTACTTCTCGTTTTCAAAAATTTTTCAGTTAAAAGAGCAAATTCAGTACCCACATCTTAACGCTGCGAAAGTTAGTTATGACTCAGTTTAAACCATTTATTTCTCTTACGAAAGATCTGGAACAGTCTGCACGATTACTACCACATCTGATTGGTGTATTTCAATTACGGCTCCCACGCGCGAGTCTGCGAGAAAAATAGTGAAAACAAATGTTGAAGCCATGCACGGTAAACCAGTGGAACTGAAGGTGAAATTGGCTCGAAACGTTTCTGATTCCATTTAGACCTAATAGTACTCACCAATAATACTTAGCATTACTGAAATTCGAAAACTGATATTTTTTACGGATACGTCTTACTTACAGACGGAAACTAGACGGCAAAATCAGCCACTGCAAGCGCTACAAATTTACCAACGAGCACGACTTATTGGGTGTTAATAACTTTTCTTTCGTCCAGGGAGTATTTGAATACGAATGCAAGTTATAATTATTTAGACCAGACATGTGACGGATTCCGGTCTGTCAAGACAAACATTTCAGGGTCCGTCTCCCTTCCTCTAATAGTAAATAGATAAACTTTCTTAAAATTAGGACTCTGTACGACTACCCCACACTATGATGATGCTGAGACGGTCTATGTTCTTGTGGAAAAGGATCAATGATATAGTGTTACTACAAGGAAGGCTGACGTTATGATTTGTCTGACACAATTCAACATTAAAGTTTCGAATTCTCCTTTCCTCTACCTTATCTTGCTTAAAAACTTGGGATGAGGGAGACCTATGAAAAACGAGACAGTAATAGTTGTTTTTACTTTTAGCAGTTAAAAAAGGAACATAAAAAAATGATCTGTTAAAATAAGCTCCGGAAAGCTCAAAATAGTGTTAGAGAATTAAAGTGTCGCTAGTTTGAGCGGAAGTTCCTCGCCATTAGCTTTTTAATTATTTTATTTTTCTTGAACTGAACTGAATATACAATAATCTTGTAAACTGTAGAAGACTTAAATTGCTAAAAAGCTACATGGGCAAATATGCTCATAAATAGCGGCTTAATCAAGCCACATGACGTCACAATCGTTGCTTTAACCAACCTTCACAACAAACTATTTATGATAAATATGAAACACAGAATTAATAATGCGCCAGTATGATTAAAGTTTAACTATTACGCTTGTGCTTGTTACATATTACGCATTTTTAAAAGGGGAAAAAATTAATGGTGAGAATCATTAATGGTTTAAACAAATGAATAAACAAGTGCTTTTCAAACGGTGTATACGTTGGAACTGGTTTTGAGTAACTCTTTCACAGTCTCAACAGAATCGATTAACGCTCAGTCTAGTCACTTTGCACTGTTTTGTCATATTTTTTACTTCCTTTGCAACTGAAGTTCGGATTTCACGATTTTGTAAACAGTGGCACAAAAGAGGTTGAGGGCACTCGCCGCACATAAAGCAAAGGATTCTCATGCT